TATTATCTAATAAGTTCTATAGTTCTTATAATTCTAGAATAACTATATAGTAGATTATTATAATAATTATATATAATTCCTTCTTAAAGGTTATCTAGTACTTAGCTTAGTATATAGCGTTCCTATAATACGCGTATAATATTATTAAGCTACTATAATAGTTTAAAGGATCTATCTTAGTTAATCTTAAGTATAGTAGCTTTATTAATAGTCTTCTTACCTACTAGGTTATATTATTAGCTAAGAGCATCTACTCTACTATTATCTTTGCCTAGAGTATATAGAATCTTAAATTTATACTAGCCTAGCATCTCTAACTATCTAACTTATCTTTAGTTTAGGACCTTAGTAGTAGTAAAGTATACTAGGTTCTTATAATCTATATAGATTATAAGGTCTAAATAGCTTTCTATATATACTTACTAGTATTCTAAGGATAATATAATTGCTAAAAGTTCCTTGTTATATATATTATAGCGTTCTTCTAGTTCTAAGAACTTATATAAATAATAAGTAATTAGGTGCTATTATCTATTTTTTTTCTATATAATATATGCTTCTAATACTAGATCTAAGGTATCTATCTCTATTTAGAGTAGTTTATTGCTCTTAAATATAATTAATATTAGGGGGTTAATACACGCCTATTATAATAACTTAAATATATTATTCTATTCTTTTCCTTATAAGAAGGGTATATCCTTCTATATAAGCTTTATAAGTAGTAAGGCCTTCTTTAAGTAATTCTTAATAAATTATCTATTAAAGTTAATAAACCTAAGAAATTCTTAAATCCCTTTAACTATTATTAGAGTAGGCTAATTCTTTACTATATTAATCTTAGTATTACTTATCTTAACTCTATATTATCCTATAATAAACTCTAGGAATTTAACTTCCTCTTTATACTATTCGCACTTCTTAGGTTTTAGTTAGAGGTCTACTTACTTTAAGCATTCTAGCACTTCTATAATATGTTATATATACTCTTCTAGTATCTTAGAGTATACTAAGATATTATCTAGATATGCTACTACTATCTTATTAAGGTGTGCCCTAAGGATATTATTAATTAATTTCTAGCATATAGCTAGTGCGTTTATTAGACTAAATAGTATAACTAGGTACTTATATAGTCTATATCTTATTCTAAATACTATCTTCTATTCTTTACCTTCTTTTATATATATAAGGTTATATACTGCTCTTAAATCTAACGCAGTAAAGTACTAAGCTCCTTATAACTAGTCCTATAACTTTATAATATTAGATAGTAGATAGTAGTTCTTAATTATAATTTTATTAAGCTTTCTAAAGTTAATACAAGGTTATAGCTTACTATCCTTCTTTAGAATAAATATAATAGAGTACTCTATAGGCAATTCTAATCTTCTAATAAATCCCTTCTTAAGGTTCTCTTAAATATACTTACATAGTATACTAAGTTTCTTTTCTAATAACTAGTATAATAGCCTAAAAGTTAGTTACTTTCCTTTCTAGAGCTTAATCTTATAATTCTAGAGTTTATACTTAGGTAGGGCTTTTACTATAAGCTCTTCTTTAAATATCTATATATATTATTAATATATATCTAGAATACTAGAAGTTATATATTTCTCCTTAACTGCTACTTTATAAGGCTAGAGCTAGTTACTCTTTATATAGTTAACTACTCTATTCTAGCATGTCTTAGTTAAAGTAATATTACTAATTATTTTCTTATCTACTAGTTATATTATAGTCTGCGCAGGTTCTAACTATATTATACTATATTTATAGTACTTTAGCAAAAGCTTCTTAAGTATCTAGTCTATCTATAGATTATACTTTTATAACTAGAGAATTTCTAATATAACATTATAAGTAGCTATCTTAAAGGCGTCTAGAGTAATTTCTTTATAGTGTCCTTAGATAGTTATTAGAATAGATAATATCTTATAGGTTATTCCTAATTTCTTAGATATAGGTTCTCTATTAGCTATATATAGTAGGTAAGGTTCTATCTTCTAAGTAGGGTATAGTCTAGCTAGCTATATTACTTATAAAGAGATATAGTTAGACTATAATTCTAAGTCTAATAGTGCCTATATCTATACTCTACCTAATTTAATAGAGAGTAATATAAGGTAATCGGTCCTAATATTATTAATAGATTAATCTCTAGCGCTCTAACTTAGCGCTAGTCTAAAAAAGACTCTTCTTCCTTACTATTTATTTCTTTATATTTAAGAAATTCTTACTACTTCTTAGCTATCTTATAGCTCTTATAGTCTAGGTATAGATATTATTACTAATATAGGTTAAAGTAGTTTCTATTAATAATTAACTATTTAATATATATATACTATATCTCTATCTCTTCTAGGAAATAGTAATTTTATTACTTATTCTAGAGATAATTCTTATAAGTGTTATTTTTATATTTAAACTACTTAGCATAATACTATTATCTTAAACTAGGGAACTATCTACTATTAATCTTAGTGTTATAGTAGTCTTTATACACGTTATTATTATAGTATATCTATATAATAGTATAGTATAGCAGGTTCCTAGAGTTAATAGGGTAGTAGAGTATAGTATAATTATAATATATAGGTACTCTATTAAAATTAGGTTTATTGCGTCCTAGTATATTCTTGCTAGTATGTTCTAGTATTTCTAGAGTCGCGTAGTTATTATGCTAATATTCCTTAAACTATTTCTTATACTATTCTTCTAGTATCTTTAAGAGTTTATAAATAGATATTAAGGCATTCTTATAGTTTTCTTAAACTTATAGGTCTAGAGTAAGTGTTACTTATTTGCTATTATTATATCTTATAAGTAGCTTCTATAAGTTAATATAAGCTACTTTAGGTTTATTATCTATAATATTAAGTGTATAGCGCTATATACTTTCTTCCTTATTATATATTATATATTTATTATTTAAGCATTGCGCTATATTAGCTTAGTGCTCTTCTTTTAATTATTAGTCTAGGACCTAGAGTATCTAGTTATAGTAATCTTAGTATTTTAATAATCTATATTATTTATTAGTATATATCTCTTCTAACTATTAGTATAGTATTAGCGCTCTGCTTTAGATGCTTTATTAGTCCTTATTAGGTTTAATATATTTATTATCTATCCTAGATTTAGTCTCTAGATCTTCTATAAGATATTCTATATTATTAGTAATTATCTTCTAATTACTAGTATTAGTAAATCTAACTTTACTAGATATTATATTAAGCTATTATAAAACCTTGTTCTTGTTATAATAGTCTCTAGTAAAGTAGCCTATCTTGCTATAGCTATAGTAAGTTACTAGAGGCTTGCTTATTCTAGAACTACCCTTATTCTTTGCATTCTACTATTTAGGTCCTTTATTAATATTAGAGAGGTCTATAGCCTTAGCGCTATAGTATCCTATATTAGTTCTAGTATAGACTTATTATAACGTGTTAGACTAATAGCGTTCTCTATACTATCCCTATTAGATATTATTCTTCTATAGGTTCCTAAAGGTCTATAGTATAGAATTAGTAATCTATACTTAGAGGTTATCTTATAATTCTAACTATAGCTTATATAGTTTAGTATTAATATTAATTATAGTATTAACTAGTTAGGTAAAGGTATTAGTGCTAGCGCTAGTATGCATTAGCTCTTTCTTAATCTTTAGCTTAAGTCCTTATCTAAATATAGTTATAAGTGCGGTATTATTCTAGTTAGTATATATAGTAAGTTACTAAAACTCTATAGTATAATTAGTAGCTAACTTATTTTATTTAATATATTAGATATTGCACCTAGCACTAGAGACTTTATTAAATATACTAAATATAGGTTTAATTTATTCCTTAAAGGTATTAAAGTCTTTTATCTAGATATCTACTTTATCTAGAGTAGTGCCTATGTTATACTATAGGATAAAGGGCTTAATCTATTTAAACGCTGCGCTACGTATATAGCTGCTAATAAGTATAACCCTTTTTTTCTCTTTAATATGCTTGCCTTAGAATATAAAGAATAAGTCCTATTATATAAGCTAATTATTAAGTTTACTTTGTTTGCTAAAGTAGAGGTTAGGTTTATTAACTATAATATTACCTATATAGGTAGCACTATTATTAGTTATATCTATATTATTTAATAAGCTAGAGGTAGCTTAGTTTTCTAAGGTAGTAGATATCTTAAGAGTGTTTAAAATATTAAGGTTATACTTTAAGCAAAGCTTATAAGTACTATTTAATTAGTTCTTAGAGATAAATACTATTAGGGGAACTAAAGGGGTCTTATACTAAGGAGTATAGATATAATCTATCTATCTTAAGAGTAAAAAGTAATAATAAGTAGTATAGAGTAGACTATCTAGCTTAAAGGTTAGAGTTAAGATCTAATATTATAGATTAATACTTAGGTTAAATATAAACTATAAGGGTTATATTCCTATATGCTATATACTAAAGATGTTCTATAGTTATTCTAATATTCTATAATATACTAATATTAGAACGCGTTAGAATATTATAGGATTCTTAGAATAATATATAATATATTCTATAGTAGCGTTCTACTAAGGTTTTAGAATAGAAGGGGTTATATTATTATTAGTTATAAATGCTAACCTTCTTAAAGACCTTTAGGTTATCCCTAAGTGTTATTAATCCTTCTCTTTCTTATCTTCTACTATGTCCTCTCTTAGGTTTATAATACTTAGATATAAAGAGTTTAACAACTCTAATCTTCTAGTAGACGCCGCTAAAATAGCTTCTAATAATAGCTATAATACTATAATTATTATTATTAGTAGAGATAAAGAATAGAAGACTAAAGGTTAAGATATCCTAATATTTAAGTTACTAGGCAAACAGACCTATCTTATAACACTTATATATTCTATATATAAGAACGTTATTATTCTAGTTTAGGCTAGTACCCTAGTATAGATGCTGCCCTAGCTTAACAAAGTTAATGCTATACTCTACTGCTAGTACTAAGGCTAGGAGCTAGGCAACACGGCAGCTAATGTTATATTTAGAGATTTTAACCTATCTAGCAGACTCCCTATTACTTTCCTACAACGCATTAAAGACTGCCCTGCATATTTAAGCTTTCTAGAAGAACAACTTAGCAGCTACTACTCTAAAGGTCTATATATTAGTTATTAATAGTAGGATCTACTAGGTATATAACTGCTATTTCCTATTAGATTTAGTCTCTCTTACTTATCCTTTAATATTAAGGATACTATACTAAGTAACAGTGTCTTTCTACAGGATAGAAAGCCTCTAGTCCTGTCTGCTACTGTCTAGAATATATTAAAAGATGCTGATTTGGCTTCTTGCGAAATAGTTATTGTTTAGTTCTAGCAGACCTCTAAGACTTGCCTTAAAAGACTGCCTAAGCAGATTTGTGGTTTTGCAAAGACGCCACCACTAGGTCCTAGTTAGAGATGCAAGATCAATGTTAATATCGATGCATATGGACTTAGAATCTGGGATGTAGAACAGAATGCATGGTTAATTAATAGCAGCTTGCAGTTTAAGCTTGCGATCAGCACAAGTAAGCTGGGAGTGCAAAGTGTCAGCAGATTTAAGATAGAAGAGGAGATTTGTTTCGTGCACAAACTAGGAGACACTCATATACGCTAAGATAGCGAAGAGCTCTCCACAAACCCAGAATTACAGCACACAGGCAGTAGAGCGGTTATCTAGGTCCATGCTGTGTTCTCTTTTGCCAATCCGAAGTAGCACCTGCTATACAGGTAGGAAGTCAAGACTGTGTAGGGTGTGGGGTTCTCGCGATAATCGTATCCTCTCCGTACACGAGCAGATTCCTCGAGAAGGATATGTCCGAATTGGAAGTTGGACATCTGGGCCATCTCGTGACGATCGAGAAGGCTAGGTTGAACCTTCATATTTGCTTGGATCATGACGTATGCACACAATGATACAATCATGCAGTAGGCTTCGATGGAGCGGTCCATGTTGGCAATGGCTTCTTGCGCCAGTTGCCGATGTAGTACAGGCTGTGAAGGGTAGACATTGACAAAGAAGAACTCCATGCAGCTCTCTACAAGAGCACGTGGTACCAGGCTTGGAGTCTGGACGTTCTGTGATGACAATAGCTGTCCGTCATGAGCCAGCTGTGCATTTTGTTGATTCTCACGGAGCTCAGGAAGGACCTTCGCCCGGCTGCCCTTCGGACCTTTGTTCTGGGGGATGGTGTTATATTTGCATGCTAAGCCTGCGGGAACACAGTGCTTGCATGGGTTGGTGCCTTCACGTATGCATTTGACTTTTCTTCGATGGCAGCTACAGCTGCGTCAGTAAGCGCCGATACGATGGCAGCAACATGCTCACCTGTCGCAGGCCCGCTTGACAGGA